AGTGGGTCTATTATTTTTCAGAAATAAATAGGGTTCTCGAAACCCACAAAGAGAACCTAATAACATAACATGGAGACAGGTCTGAAACAAAACCATGCAATTTCAATTATGGAAAGACACAATCCTCTATGTTAAGGTTTAGGTTTAGAAAACGACATGGCCCATGGGTGTAACCCATAAGTGCTCTGTTCCACTTCTAACTCAAGCCTGTCCGAAGAAACTGAAACCAGGGAAAATTGCTAAAAATCCAGGTAAAAAAATCCCAGCCTTTACCGGGGCTTGAACCCGGGACCTCCAGCACAGCCATTCCTTGGGACCACGCAGTGTTGGCCCCCCCCCCTCCCCCCCCCCACCATGTCAGTGGCTATAGAACTGGAAGTTTAAGTTACCATGTTATTTTACAGCTACTTTCATTTTAAAAAGGTCCAACAAGACATAATACAAATCATGCAGTGACATATCACAAGCAAAATAAATTCCAAGACATTAAATTATAATGTTCCTTTTCAGAGTATGTTTCTTTATCTGTTTAAGAATCAAGTTTCTTTATCTAATTCAATAAACATATTTAAAGTATAATAGTCTTTGTCTGTTTAAATATATTATCTTGGTCGATGAATGTTTACACATAATCAGCTCTCCTATGTCTTCAAGTCAGCAATTTTTGTGTAGGTTATAGGGTAGGATAGCTTGTACATGATTACATCTATGAGAAACACTAGATGAACACAAAATACAATTTCACATTAAACAGATGCAATCAGCTACACAGACTGTGTGCATTCTCACATATTGCAACAGATTCTGCATCAATAAAATATATGCACTATACTATAAGGATTGATTTGCTAATCTGTTAACCTAAATACCCAGGCCAAAATAATGCAAGAGGAAACTGGTGCATAATGAGGAGAAGCTTGAAATAATAAATTTATCTGAACAGAATAGGAAAAAAAGGTGTGAATCTGAGATTTCTTTTGTTAAGCATAAAGGAAGTGGCTTTGTACACAACCAGAGTTAGAACAACAATTATGCATGCTGTGATGTCTATAATATCACCTATAAGTCTCCAAATGCTGTTACGCCGAGGGCGGGGCTGAGGATAAGCTCTCAGTCTCCATGAACTACCCTCAAGGCATGCGTCTCTCAAAGCCTCTGACAGCAAAAGTCCAACTCCTGGCCTTCTCGCAGAGATGTTTAAACTAACAGGAGAAGGGGTGAAAGCGGGTCTCTGGCGCTTTAACCAGACGCTTCTGCAATCTGCAAGTGCTCAGGTCCATTCGGTCTAGAGTCCAGAAAACTGCACGGCGCTGCGCTAATTATTACTGGATCTAACTTAGTGAGAGGATACAAACCTCAGCAGCTACTGGCAACATAAGGGGAATGTATGCTGGCATCAAGAAGGCTATTGGGCCAGTAAAAAGAAAGATTGCCCCTCTCAAATCAACCATGGGCGAAATCATAAAGGATCGGACAAAGCAGCTGGACCGATGGGTGGAGCACTACTCAGAGCTATATGCTACAAGCACCTTTGTATGTGAAGAGGCCTTAAATGCAATGAAATGTCTGCCAACCATGGGTGAACTAGACAAGGAACCCTCCGTCACAGAAATCGGTGAGGCAGTAGATGGGCTTCCTTCAGGGAAGGCCCCAGGAGAGGATGGTATCCCACCTGAGATCCTAAAATTCTCCAAGGATGCTATTCTTCCTGAGCTACACAAGATCCTCTGTCAGTGTTGGCAAGAAAAATCGGTGCCACAGGATATGAGAGATGCCAACATTATAACTCTCTATAAAAAATAAGGGAGATAGAAGCGACTGCAACAACTATCGCGGTATCTCTCTATTGAATTATGTGGGAAAAGTCTTTGCTCGTGTTATTCTAAAGAGGTTGCAAATTCTAGAGAACAGAGTATACCCGGAATCACAGTGTGGGTTTAGGACCCAGAGATCAACAGTTGATATAATCTTCTCCATCAGGCAGCTACAAGAGAAGTGCAGAGAGCAACAGAGGCCACTGCTCATTGCTTTCATAGATCTCACTAAGGCCTTTGACTATGTCAGCAGAGATGGTCTATTCACGATCCTTGAAAAATATGGATGCCCACCTATACTACTGAGCCTAATCAAATCCTTACATGAGAATATGAGGGGGACCATAATATATGACGATTCATTATCTCGACCCTTCCAGATTCGAAATGGAGTAAAGCAAGGATGTGTTCTGGCTCCCACGCTGTTTGGCATCTTTTTTACCGCATTATTGAGGTGTGCATTTGGGACAGCAACTGAGGGGATATACCTCCGTTCGAGGTCAGATGGCAATCTTTTTAATCTGTCCAGGCTACATGCAAGGACGAAGGTGCACACGAGATGCCTCAGGGATTTTCTGTTTGCGGATGATGCAGCCATTGTGGCAGATTCAGAGGATGATCTGTAGATCCTGATGAATCGCTTTGCAAATGCTTGCAAAGAATTTGGGCTTACTATCAGCCTGAACAAAACACAAGTGATGGGATTGAATGTTGGAAATCCACCAAACATTAGTGTGTATGACCATCAGCTGCTGGCTGTAAATGAGTTTGAGTACCTAGGCTCACGTATCTCAGGCAATCATTCTCTGGATGCAGAACTAAACAAACGTATAGGAAAGGCCTCTGCTATGTTTGCAAATCTCACAAAGAGAGTCTGGTCAAACAAAAAGCTAACTGATAATACAAAAATGAAGGTTTATGAGTCTTGTGTCCTGAGCACATTACTGTACGGCTGCGAATCCTGGACTCTCTATGCTCCACAGGAAAAAAAGACTGAATACCTTCCATATGCGCTGTCTGAGACGCATCCTTGGTATATTATGGCGAGACCTTGTCTCCAACGAATGTGTGCTCACAAGAGCAAAAATACCATCAATGTATTGTATACTGAAGCAAAGACGTCTGCGCTGACTGGGACATGTCTCCCGCATGGAGGATGGTCGTATTTCAAAAGATCTCTTATATGGTGAATTGGTAACTGGGAATAGACCTACAGGAAGGCCAAAGCTGCGCTTTAAAGATGTATGCAAACGTGACCTAATAGATACCAACATAGGCACAGAAACATGGGAAAAATCAGCTGCAGATGGACTACTATAAAGACAGAAAATGAAAGACGGACTGTCACATTTTGAAAGAAACCGAACACAACGAGCTGTGGAGAGGAGACACCGGAGAGTAAAACTGCCTCACAACGAGGGAGTATCTGCTTTTGTGTGTATCCTGTGTGGCAAAGGCTGCCATTCCCGCATCAGACTTTACAGTCACAGCAAATGCTGTTCCCAAAGCCAGCGGCACATTTCCATAGTCCCCCGGGACTGACGGATGCCATTATTACCATTATTAGATGTCTATAAGAAAGTGCTGAACGACTAGCAAAGTAGAAACAATGTGAAGAAATAGACACTTTCAGAAGTTCCGCCTCATAATCTTAACACTGGAGTGTTGCAAGAATTATTTGGGTTCAAAGTCGAAAAGGAAGACAAAGTAATTGTACACATTCAGAGCACCACAATAATGTTATTGAAGAACCAACTGTACATGATAATGTTGGTCCACAAACAGCACAAAGGTCTTGCACGAGACAGATGCACTGAAAATACATGGTGAGAAAGTTGAAAATAAATGGCAAGAAAATGGAAAAATACTTGGCTCAACAAGAGAGACAGAAGACATAAAACTAAGAATTACCCTGCAAAATTATCAACTGATTAACAGTAAGCACAGCAGAATAATCTCAGAAGCTGCAACAGCTGATGGCAACGAATCTTACTTTGATAAAAAATAACATGTTGATACACTGACTTCGTTGCTTTAGACACATTATTAATTTCAAACAATTGTTAATGTAGTATTACTGATAAGATGCTATTCTAGCATTCCAGTCAATGCATCAGTAGTCCAGACTGCTTTCTTGTCGGCCCTTTTTGGGACTGACCCAGCTTCATAAACAAGACTTCTCTGGTAAAGTAAAGCTAATTAATAGGATAGGTGGCCTCACTGCCTTTTATGAACTGCTAGGCAACAGATAATATTAACTAAAAGCTATAATTAAATAGGCCTCAGCAGAATGTATAAGTGCAGTAAGATTTTTGGTTTAAGATCATCATTCAGAGCAACAATAAATAATATGCAAGATCTTTAAGTGAGCTTAATTATTTGCAGTAAATGAGATCTTCAAGGGAGCTTAATTATGTGCAGTAATAAGATCTTCAAAAAAGCTTAATATGAACCCCCACATCACATGCAGAGCTAATTAATGACATTTATAAATTATTCCCAGCACAAGATCACACAATTCCCCTTATTAATGTTATGATAACATACAGAGGACAGATAAAGGAATGAATATTGTGATGTAAGAGTGAGCACCTGTAACTATCCTTCCATTTATAGTCCTATAATACTAGGTCCCACTAGGTCATCAAGTTAATGACTGTTTGATCAGGCCTTTTCATTTTTGGGGATACGATGTGATAAAGGCATTTTTTTCCAATCAGCCGAAAGTTGGATTCAGGACTTTCTTAGCATGCCAAATTATATCTTCCCTTGTGTCAAGCCTGTAGTATAATTTTGGGAAACGTCTGAGATCTTACTAAATGTCCACATTTTTGCATTGGTGGTCTGTATGGTCATGGGAAAATAGCAGGCTATGGATTTTTACTTTTCACCATTATCAGAGAGCTAGCAGTCCCCAACAATGTTGGCTGCAGTGCCAGGCCTGATCACACCTCATAGAACAAGCAGCTGCATGGAGTCATAAATAAACAACACACAATTCACAATGAATATGATATATTATTAACATCAATGTACCAGCATTTTGAGAAACAGAAATGCAATCATAGTTAAAATGAACAAACAAATCAACCTGATTTACCTTACCAACAAGTGCTACAGGAATCAGCTCACAGTTGCTTCATGCATCACATTATATACATCACACATATACTCTGGACTTCAAATTTACAACAAATTCTTTTTACTGCATCTGCTCAAATGTGAAGTGATTCCTAAAGCGCCACCAATTCCAAATCGAACAAAATTGTCTCCAACGAGAGGCCCCATTGCAAACAACTGAGGCTCATGAACAGACTGATAGGAATACGCATCAATGTCAATAATGTTGTGCTTGCTGTCAATGGGCCACTCTGGAACTATGCCCAAGTGGCGACCTTCCCGAGGAAGAAATCCCAGGTCTGGTCTGGAACCAATCATTATAGCTGTAAAGGAAACATCGAACCAAGTGACTGTCCCTGAGCGCTTACAGTTAACTAGCACTTTATTGTGCATTATCTCTGTGATGGTGTGGCCTGGCAGAGGCTTGTACAGTTCACTGACTTCTTTTCCTTTCATGAGATTGTGAACGTGGTGGTACTCTGGGTACATAGCTTTAGGCAGCTTGGAGAAGATGAGAGTTGGGTCTGAAGGCCTGCGCCGGAACACATGAATGACAGGCACATTTGATTCCATTGCTGTTAGAATGGCATCTGCGGCACTCAACCCTGCACCCACCACAAGAACTGGGTCTGTAACGGTGGATGCTTCACAATTAGACAGAAGTTTCTCAAACTCACCTAAAGTGTGAACCACAGTAGGCAGGTTTTCTCCTTCGACACCAAGGCGGTTAGGAATGTCATATGCACCAGTAGCTAGAACAACATGAGGAGCAACATAGCAAAAGTCTCGCCTTGCAACAGGCACACCCTGGTCATCCATACTAGTGCAGTACCCTCTGACCTCCCAACAATGAGTGTGGTTGACCCTGACATTACGACAACAAGGCTCCACTTCCCCACTTTCACTGTCCACGTTACTACGTAGATGGAACACCCGCTGTACAGATGTCACTGTGTGAAAGTCGCGAAAATGTTTCTCTAGCCCCTGCAGCTTGACATATGCTGCATAATACTCCTTCACATCACCAACTGTGGCACGACCAAGCAGGGAGTCCCTTGTTGGAGAATCTCTGAGGAATAAACACAAAGTGCTCGATAAATGGATGATTCAAACATTTTACTTCACTTCTTCTTACTTCTTAGCATTCACCGCTGTAAACTCCGCCATAAAGTTATGGTAGTACATCCACTTCTGGACTTTGGTCTTGTTCCAGAAAAAGAATTGACAGTGCTCATCGGTTTTATAGATCTCGCTTATTTGTATGCAGACTGGGGATTTCCTCGCCTCTCTGGCAAATGTACTCAAACTTTGAAGGGAACTCCTCTAATTAGGCGCCTTGTACAACATACTTGTTAAAGAGGCAATAGGTCTATTCCGGCCCCCCCCCCCCCTTTTCTCCCCAGAATAGGGCCCCAGGACTCACAAGTGAAACTTCATTAAAGCAAAAATCAGAGTCATTAAGTAATTAGAAAGCCACACATTTAGTAGCAGCTTACAGAAATCCTATGAAAAGTAAAGGACCCCTTTCACATTTTGAGGCATGCTAGACATTTGGTGCAAGCCTCATATGTATCTCATATTGTTATAGACTAACCGACAATCATAAATTATGTGGTCAGCATCACTTTGACTGCCTTTACTTCCCATGACATTTCCCTGATACTTACTAGAAGCCGGGTTGACGTGACAGCCCATGTCAATTAGGACAAATCCACAAGGATGTGAATTCAAACCGAATGTCCCTGTGTGAGTTCTGGGCCCCTTTGGTGGAAGGGAGAAGAGACAGACCCACTGGGAAGTGGGGAGGGGGGGGGGGGGGGGGGGGGGGGGGGGGGGTGTGATGATAGGCACATTGCCTTGCTATCAAGCATGACGTAAAGGGCGATTAATTAGGGATTTTTCTTTCTAAGTCAGAGCGCATCTCCTGAGATATGAGGAACTAACAGTCTGCATACAAATAGGCAGATCTGTAAAACAGATGTGCATGCATTTACAAGTTCTGGAAGTGGACGAGCAACCACAACTTTCTGCCGAATTTACAGGAAGTGAATGCTAAGAAGATGAAGAAATCCAATGAGCACTGGTTTGGCAGGCATTTAAACAGAAATATTAGTTGAAGATAAACATGTTTCTCAAATTCTCCCATTTTGTTCTTTTTGGTATTGACTTTAGCTGTCAAATCATTCTCATATAGCACACAATGATGTCAAAATAATACCACATGTACATACCTGTTTTTCCTGGCAAGCCACTCTTTGAAACTCATATTTGGAAGCTCCATCCAAGAATTCTGGCTAATTGTCTGCATACTGCCATCGATTTTCTAAAGCAAAATAAAGTTATATTGTTAATATTGATATATGTTATTGCTGATCTGGATTATCTAAATTATGTACACAAAGATAATAATTCTTGGTTTTGCAATCCGGAATTTTTAAAAATGAACAAAGGACAGAAATGTATAAATACAATTTAAATAAATAAAGGTAGTGATGTGGAGATTAATTCATTAGAATATGAGGTGTTTACATAGCTGTTCATATTCCAGGCCACAGTAAAGTAAATGTCCCTTTTCCACACCTTTAGGCATATAAGGCATATAGGGCTAGACCTAATTTTTTATAGACCAATCGACACAAGATATCTATGGTCAGCGATGTGGTCAGCATCACGCCCGCCGCCTTTACTTCCCGGGACTGCACCCGGTACCCACTCAAGGCTGGGTCCATCTAGGAGTCAAGGTCATTTCAGAAAATAGTCCAGCTCCACTAGGAAGCGAACCTACGACCTTCCAATCCGAACGCGAGCATCTAGCCACGGCGACTCCCAGACCATAAATCAGATGAGATCTTATATATACTGATTTTAAAAAACAACATCATAGCAGACGGGGCATACCCATATATGCTCCATCCCTAGCAGTAAATGTCTTCAGGTGTAGATGCTAATTGTTCCTGTAGTTCATTGACAATACACTTGTTCGTTTACTCTCATACATCTTTCCTTGCCAGATCCACTCCTAATTCCATGTTCACACATTGCTACACATGTTATTTCATCTAGCCTAGTGCCTAGTGAGTATTCCTGCAGCTATCGCTGTTGTAACCAAAAAAAAAGACTGCTCTTTCACTCCCTCGCACTCCTGCATATCCCAGACAGTATATCCATATGAGTCACTGTAATGCTGATGTGCTGACGCTTGGTATCCAGTCATGCCACATTTGGAACTTTCTACAGTAAAAACATAAGTTTCATTTCATCTGTTTCCCAGTGAGGGTTCTAGGACCCTGTTTTGAGGGAGAAAATGAACAGATTTACTACCCTCTATTAGAGCCACTGCATCCCTTACAAACATGTCATAAATGATGTCTAATTAGAGGTTTCCTCCTAATTCAGACTGCATCTGCCTGAGATGTGAGGAATCGACAGTCTGCATATTAATAATACACATAAACCAGATATGTAAAAGGATGCATGTATGTGTAAAATTCAAGTTCTGGAAGAAGATACAAACTCCAGAAAAGGGCAAACAACCAGGACTTTCTGCGGCGGTTAAAGATGGTGAACGCTAAGAAGATTATTTTCATTTCTGTTGATCCACTGGACATAAGGTGCTAGTCTCACGACCAATAGGCATGCAACAGACAAAATACTTAATATCGCACCAGCTGCTTTACTCCTCCCCCCCCCCCCCCCCCATTTCCCTGTAGACATTAGAGATTGGTTAACTTGACAGCCCAAGTTTTTTTTTTCCACCCTATTAGTGTTCAAACCTGTGAACATTAGGTCATTTAGCAAGTATGCTAGCTACTATCCAACCAGGGTGATGTGCAGGCTGATAGACTGACTGCTGCCACTACCACTTAATGATAGACATAGAGAAGGCTGTCTGGCTGCAAGAGAACAGACAAGAGTAATCATACCTTTAAAGACTATTCAATGGGCATGAGCAGTGGAGAGGGGGGAGGGACATAATGAGAACTTTTAATTAGGTTGCAAATAGTACTATTAGCAAGTTGACTCTTTATTGGCTACTGAGGAAGGAGATTGAGCAAATGTAGGAATGAACCGAGTGCAGTCTTGATTCATTCATTCATGCTAGGCCCACAGAAATCAATCTTGCAAGATGAACGAACTATGCGGTATTTGTAGGAAGTATACATTTATTTAACCTCTTTGTCTCATTATTCTCCTATATTATTAAATTATTTCCAAGTTGTTACTTTAACTCTTTCACAGTCGTATAATTGTACCTCCTAAAGACTCACAGATTGTTGCTTTAAAATATTCAACCTGAAGGATTTAAAGTATTTAAGTTGCAACTGTCCAGGACTGAACAGTCATGCAGGATATCATTCCTTCAAGAAGGTAAAGAGGCCGATTCAGCAAGTTGGCTGACACAGAACAGCAAGGATACCTTGAAAATAAAAGTTAATGAGGCAGTAAAGTATGAGACACAGTCTGTCAGTGACATACCTGCCATGTTCCACCAGGCTTAGTTTTTCCCAGCACAACATGGGGAATCTCATGCATCTCTTCATGTTTCCAGTCTAGAGCAGATGGATTGTCTACTCCAAGGTCAGCATCGGGATGGAACAGACTGTCAAATAACAGTGCAACAGGATTGTTTGAACGGCCTTCCAGGCCTTCACACAAAGATGGCAAATCCTGAACAGGAATAAATGAAAGCAAATACATAAACACATCGCAAGTTAGGTGAAAAAAGGTACAAATTACATATGTGTTGTTTGTTCCATTTGAATGGTACATTATTCTTTTAATATATTTTCATCCATTCCTTGATTCATTTATAAACAATCCATGCACACCAACATCTTAATATTATTCTGTATACAAACTTTAACCGCCTTGCTAGTCAATCATAATCAGTCAGTTATCTCCACAAGTGAAGATTTGCCCCAGTGGATCTCCAAAGCTTGTCGGCTGTATATTTTCCACCCGCTTTTAAATCTGTCTATTTATGTTTTATTTCCGACTTGCATTGCTGTCTACATTTTACTTACCTGCCATATAACTTCCCCTCTACTGTTTTATATGGATGCTATGTTCTTTATTGTAGCCAAAATTCTGTGTTTTTCTTTTCATTCAACAATTCTGTTTTATTCTTCTTCTTAGATTTTATTGACAGCAAACTCTGGCAGAAAGTTCTGGTTGTTTATCCACTTCAACACTCTTGTTCGATAAGTTAAATTTGATGTTCACATCTGTTTTACAAATAGCTTACATGTACCCATTTCTATGCAGCCTTTTTCTCCCCTCTCGACAGATGTGCTCTGACTTCAGAGGAAAATTCCTAATAATCTGTTGCCTTTTATGACATATTTGATAGGGAGGCAGTGAGCCTATCTCCCCCCTCCCGCCCCCCACGGGGTCCAGGAACCGATGCAGTGAAATTATCTTTCCAATTCCAATCTCTCCACAACCTCTGTACAGTACAGTTTTGTTGTTGTTGTTTATATGAACTATGACCTATATGAACATCTTTATATTATTATTTCTTACTAGCAGCTTCATCTGAACTTTCTGCTGGAGTTTACAGTCAGTGAATGCGAAGAAGATATCACTGTAAAATTCAGTTGCAATAATGCTGGATGTACAATCTGAACTTTCTGCCGAAGTTTACAGCCAGTGAATGCGAAGAAGATATCACTGTAAAATTCAGTTGCAGTAATGCTGGATGTACAATCTGAACTTTCTGCCGGAGTTTACAGCCAGTGAATGCGAAGAAGATATCACTGTAAAATTCAGTTGCAGTAATGCTGGATGTACAATATGAACTTTCTGCCGGAGTTTACAGCCAGTGACTGCGAAGAAGATATCACTGTAAAATTCAGTTACAATAATTTAATTAATAGAATAAGGAAGGACTTTACTTCTTGAAATATAAGACATCAAAGTAATAACAGAAGGACAGGCATGTTGGGCACACACAGTGTACAGGTATACATACTCTTTTATTAAGGACAACTGTATTTTATGACTCACCTGTTCAATGAGAGAAACACCAGGGTTCTCTTCCAACCTTTTGGTCAGAAACTCATTCGACAGTGGTGATCCATTATAGTATGGTCGATTGCCAGACAGGAAATAAGACAAACAAATCGCTGAAGGACCATTACCTGCATGACATTATACATAAATTTAACATTGTATAAATATATAGATGAGATTAATTACGCCTGATGTAAATTATTAACTTAGAGAGCAGATTGCAGATACATCATTTCTTCTATAACTTGTGCAATCCCAATGCAGATGCCTTGTTTGTGTGCAAAAATTAACACTGAAGATGCTATATTCCCTCTTCTTAAATTAAAATAGTGGATTGGATATATAGCTTTATTGAATGAGCAAAAAAACTGACATTTTGTGTACATGTAAATAAATTTAGACTTGTTCCAGAATCTGAGTGTTGCGTACACATCCATTTTACAGATCTGACTTATCTGTATACTGACTTTTGGTTCCTTGCCTCTCAGACAGATGCACTCTGACTTCAAAAGAAACCCCCAATTAGTCAACTCTTACAACATGCTTGTTGGGAAGGCAGGATGTCTATTTTTGTTTTCCCACAATTGGGTCCCGAAACCCACAGTTGGAATGAACACGACTAGTACAAGACATTAACAGCACATCAACAAGCTTACCAATAATAATAACATCAGTGTGCATAGGGACAGCATGATGCTGCATGACTACATCTCCTGAAGCCATTTTAACTTAAAAATAATCTTGTAGATAATCTCCTTAATGGGCAGTATGTGTAGTTTACAACAGGTCTGTTTTCAATTGCAGTTCTAAGCCTGGATCCAACAGCCTTGAATGGGATTTCAGTTGTCTTGATTTATATTCCCATGCCAGTCATGGCACGGAGACCTGGGAACAGCAGAGATGGCACATGTGTATATTAGAAAAGTGTTTTGTAAGTAAGAGCTATAATTTTTGGGTTATTGCAGATAATGAACCAACAACAAAATAATAATAACTCTCTGACAAATAATTCTACAAAATCATTATTGTATCTACAAGAGGAAGTCATTAAGTAAAGGTATTTGCATTAATAAGGTTGTTTTTGTAACAAGCGACCGGAACAAAATTGTTCTGAGTTCTATTTTTCAATACAGTCATTCAAACAGTCACAATTGTGGTTACCCACCAGGTGAAAACTTTTCAGGTGTAACCAGTAACCAGGTTGGCACCACTGACATTACCTCAATAACATCTACAAATCTCTAACCCCTGCAAATGTTCTCTCAACAGACGCAAACAGTGGATACACTAGAGACTCTGTGGTACATAGTATTATATGGCTATTTGAAACATGTGTACCCATTACAGTACACTGGGCTATCCTCTGATTAACAGTCTCAAATTATCAAGGCAGAAAAAATACCCTTACAAGGCCTTAGTCATATGTAAATTGCAGACCAGATATATTTGTTATTTTGTATTAATAATACAATAACTGTGTTAAATAGCATTTAATATCTTACACATAAAGGGAAATCTATATCCGGAGAAACATTGAAACAGACTACTCCGCCGGTGTTAATAAACCCTAAAAACCAAGCATGACTTACTGGTGAGATTATGACATCAATGGTTTCATGTCTTATATATATACCGCTAACGGCGAACAAAAAAATTTCAAGGATTTCATAACGACGTGTAACCTATTATTAAATACTCCGTGTACTGTGTCCTGGTTCATTCAAATTCAATCCATTCACGCCGAACAAAGTCGTGGAGCGACTGACTCATACGAATACTAAAGTACTACTTAAAAAAATCCTTCCTATCTCCGTTTTATTATTTGTTTATTTTTTAGCACAACAAAAAGAGGCCGTACACACAGAATTAAAAGACATATTATACCTGCAATAACCATTACATTCTAGGAATTATCAGTACAGAAGACACAGAAAAGGTATCCCGTTTTCCTGTAGCAGCGACGTCGCCGTTTTTGCTTGTCATCCCGGCGCACAGCAGACGTAACCAATGTGGTAGAGAGCGTGCCTATCTGAGCCAGCTGATTGGACGAGAGAATAGGCCTTGTTGTCTTATCATCATCATCATCATCATTGACTTTTACTTTTGCTATTAAGGGTGGGAGGAAGGAACGGTTAGCGGTCCAGTCGAAACAGAAAGAAAAAAAAAATGTGGGGGGAGGGGGTTACTATACAACAGATATATATATTTATATCTATATGAGAGAGAGATTATCACCGGCATAGTCATAAACTGCTGCTAAGGGACATAGGGAAGCAAAATCTGCGATCCAGTGCGAATGGAGTAGAGAAGGTTTGTTACTAGGCAACAGGAAGAGAGAGAGGGGAGGGGCGGAGGAACAGAGAGCTAGGAGCCATCATCACTATCATACTGTGCCGTTATACGTCACATAGGTAAAGTAAAAGACCACTTTCCACGTCTTTAAGTGTATTGGGCTAGACCTATTTTTGACTGATCAATCAGCATTCCGCGGCATATGAGTTCAACATGACACCGACCGCCTTTACATTCTAGGACCTTAGCTGGTACTCAGTTAAGGACAGGCCCACCTGGAGGCCAAAGTCATGTTTAAAAAAAAAAAAGAAACTACCGACACCGTTCAGACCTGAACCCACGACCTCCGGATTACATCGCATAGAGTTCGCAAATTTATAATTCCATTCAGTTGAATAGTGTGCAATAGTTCATCTTTATATTTGCTTGTTTATTTACAATGTATCCGCACATGACACCTAACAAACAAACAACAACATCATGTAAAGACACACACACAAAAGAGAATACACGTAGTTCCCACGTAAATACGGGCTGTTTTTCTGCAAATATATATATAATCATCCTGAGCCCTGTCAGTTGGCGTAGGGCTCATTCATCTCCACAGATCACGATCCCTTGTTGCCTGGAGAAGCTCTATTAATGATATCCCTCAAAGCCATCGTTTCAGCCTATCCGACATCATCTCTCTTGGTCTGCCTCTAGTCCTCTTTCCACTGATCTTTCCAGTTGTCACGATGTTTTCCAATGCCTCTCTTCTCATTATGTGGCCAAAGAACAGTGTTTGTCTCCTTCTTAGTGTTGTAAATAGAGATCTACTTTCTTTCATTAGCTTCTTTCAAACAAGCGTCTAAGGTATTCGTAACATTCGTCTCAGAAACGACATCTGTTGCTTCCCAATTCGTCTTATATGTATATATATATATATATATATATATATATATATATATATATATATATATATATATATATATATATACTAGCTGTACCCAGCCACGCGTTGCTGTGGCATAGTTTGGCTAAATGGAAATGAAAGAAAATAGAAATCGCACGTGTCTAATACAATCATTGTCTGCTCAGATATAGAGATAGTCTTTGATCCCCACCCCACCCCCCACAACTAAATCCACCTACTACCCTCTCCCTCATCAAAGGTTTTTGGAAAAGAAAGACAATGGAAATCGCACCTGTCTAATATAGTTAATGTCGCAATCATTCTCTGCACACATATATATAGAGATAGTCTGGTTTTCCAACTTTAGAACACGCACCATATAATTGTGTCTTTTTATTAGTGGTCGTTTAAATGGTGCTATTAGCACAGTAACAAAAGTGGTTATTTGGTTATCACATGCTAAACCTGTTTGTATTTTTATAGAAAACGTGGGTAAAGCTACTACTATACTTGTAAATAACAAAGTAAGTCGTACAAAAATTAGAATAGCGAAGTTAGCGTTAGTAAAATATAAACAATTTAAGTAAGTAATGAGAACTTGAAAATCATGTGTAAAGCTCTTCAAGTTCTCTTAAATTTCAGTCATTACCCTCTCCCCTCCCCTCTTCCACCGACTACTGCTCTCTCCCTCTTCGAAGGATTGAAAAATCATCACCTGGCGATATTCTTTTTGCTGTAACTGACATTGACATCCCAGTCCATCCGGACTAAATTGGGAGCAGGAATTGTAATAGGTAGTGAATGGGGCTAATGTAATATTTACCGCATCATCCTTCAAGTACCAGTACAACAACTACCACGACCACCACCACAGTAGCTAAAATAATGTCACTGCTATCTGTTTTACCATCGGAGTAGACAGGGAGTCGTGAGCCAGAAGATTTGGCGCCGCATGGCTAGTGCTGTCGCCACGGACTGGTCAGGTTAGGATGTATAATTTCGCTCCCCGACAGAAAAATGCCATAACCTTACCGGCGGTCTTCACATGAGAGCACTACGGTGTAACCGCCCAACCACAACTACTACTGCTGCTGCTACTTGGAGTGGGTAAAGCAGTTACTGTGACTTAAAGCTCTCTCAGTAATCAGTTTGCCCCCCCCCCCCCCAAATTCACCGACTACTCTTTCCCTCATCGAAGTAGTTGAGAGGGGGGGGGGACCAATTGAAAAGCAATTAAAACAGGAAGAATACACCAGAATTAGGAAATGAACGCTATGGTAAACAGCACAGCTTAAAATTCCAACGCAGATGAAATAATTAAGTCTAAATGAAAATAAATGGAAAGCTATGAAATTTCAGCTTAACCATGCAATCAAAAAGTTTAAAATGAAATCATAAGTGTGTGAAATGTTCAAATTTTATAATCAACTGGTTTACCCACAAACATGTCCTTGTTATTTTTTTTTTTTTTTTTTTTTTTTTAATATATATCATTAAGGGCCATACGGCTAGTGCTGTCACCAAGACAGTGCAGGTCAGGATTTTATTTTGGCCCTAAGTAAAAAAAAAAAAAAACTATGCGGATTCGAACCCTGGTCTCCCTCTCAAGAGCCGAGTGTTCTAACCATTCGACCAAGCAACCACTCTATCAGAGTAACGAAAAGAGAACATAACTAATTTAGATGTGTGTCCCTACTGCAGTGTTCTGATTATAACACAACTCAAAACAGCAGGCAATTGTTTTCTCATAGACAGATATTCCAAATATATTAATGAAACGGCACAAAAAAAGAAGTCAATGTCTGCGCAGACGTCGAGATAGTCCCTGATCCCCCCCCCTCCCCTCTTTTTCCCTACCAATCTATCGGCTACTTTTCAACTCATCGAAGGATGTTTGGAAAAAAAAAACAGAAAATAGAAATCGTGTCTAATATAGTTATTGTGGTAATCACTGCCTGTACAGATATAGATATAGTCTTGTTTGCTGTACCACGACCTACTCTATGTATTAGAGGAGGTGTTGGCTGCACGGCGCATGCGCAATTACTAACGTGGCTATAATTAGAAATCACTAAAATTATAAATATTAGTTTCGAATATTATGGCTTAAATTGTGGTCACCTATCTCTAACAGTGACAGGTTGAATTTCAAACCATGATGGTTCAACATCCGGTATCAAAACAAACATATCCTGAAAATTTCAGCTAAATCGGTTCAGTAGTTTCCGAGTCTATAGGGGGCAAACAAACACACAAACATTGATATATATATATATATATATATATATATATATATATATATATATATATATATATATATATATATATATATATATATATATGATACTGTCATCCCTGTGAAGTATAAAGGTCAAAGTCGAGAGAATCAACTTCACTGCACCGGGTTATATCCCATTTGGCTCGGTCTCTCTCCACAAAACGGCTAGCCACCTGCCGAGCGAATCGCACAGAGCACGAACTCTGTAGCTTCGGCGTCGACCCCAAGAGATCTCTGTACTGAACGAAGCCGCCATGA